TAAGTCATCGAAAGCTCTTCAAAAAATTTATAGAAATGGAAGGTGTCCTACCTTCTTGGAGGAGGAAAACCATTTTACTATTTGCAAAAAAGACCACGTCATTTTCTTGCACTTATTAATTGAAACTAATTTAGTCGTAGACTTCCCAAGCCAAGCATATACAGCAAACAGGTGAACATACTGAGAGGTAACTACAATGGGTTGAAAGCCAATTCGTAGAGGTGACTTGGAGCATAGCAAATTTATGTGGGGCAGTAGATCAAAAGACTGAGCCTGGGATTTATTAATTACATCTAATCAGCCAAACTACACACTTGGTACAAATGAGTATATAAAGAGTAAGCTACTAAAGGCGGGAAATTGGGCGCTGAAAATAATGGCTTGCATTTTTACCAATTGTAGAATACCTAGATGCCTTAATAAAATAATCAGTAGCCAAAAAGCCAACATATGTACCGCCATTTACCTAAAATATACCACAAGTTAAGTGCATTCAACACATTCTATTCAAATCAACTAATAGTGATAAGAGATCCCCAGTTCACCAATGAGAGAGGGGGCGCCAGTCTTGATGACGCGTCTATGAGATCTATGCGTCAAAGCAACTCAAATATAAGATTTCAACGATGGTAGCAATCGTTGACCTTCCGGCCCCGTTACTTCAAAAAATATGCGATTTCCTTCCGATCGACGATGTGCTTTCCATGACTAGCTCCTGTGATGCGTTTGCCAGTTCCATAAATCAAAAATCCTTTTGGCTACGACGTCTTACTAGAGGCAACAATGGGGCGTATTCTTGTATTCCAGGTAGATGCTTGTGTCAATGCACTTGTTTGCTACGTATTTTTTGCATTCATTTTGCGCAAAACTATTTGGTGCAAACTTTTGTTGAAACCTCCTTCTTTTAGTTTTCTATATGTAGTCTTGTCTGTATCTTTAAACAGAAAAACGACTTAATTGGAAGGACGTGTGTATCGCCCATGAAACCATTGAGCGTTGGTTCTCAGGTGACCATAGTAACCTTGTAAAGCGAACAAGTCGACACTACACCTCCCACTGTATCGACGCAATGCAAATACTGAAAGTAAACCTCTTCCTCCTCATTCCATTTTTCTTCAAGCCTCCGAACCACAACCTTTTTGCAGTTGGGGATCGCGGTGGGACTCTTTCTTTACTGTCCCTCAAAGCCCTTCTGGGTGAAGAAGAACCTACACCTAACTACACTGATACTCAAGCACATAATGTAGGCACTGTGTCGTGGTATTTTTAAATTTGGTGAATATTTTAGGGCTGGATCTGGACTATTTCCAGCGACAGTAATGTGATAGCCACTGGTTCGTGGGATCGACATTTACGAGTGTGGTCGATGAACAATGCGGCTGTGGATCTTCTTTCTCAGTACAGGTTGATTTGGATTTTGAGTTGAAACTCTCCTTTTTTGTTGTACCCTTAAGATAAATAAGCAAGGCTGCTGGTCAAAGTTTGCTTGTCTAAGCTGCCAGCAAAATGACTTTTCTTTCTTAAGAATGAAAATTTATTCGTGCTGGTTATTATCAAGTAAATAGAAATGGTAAGGTTTACTTCGTAAGAAAGTATTCAGTAGATGTAAGGTTTTGTGAGCACAGTGCAGTGTGCGGGGAGAATTTCTAGGTTCCACATTCTCCCCTTGTGCAAGCGATGCATAATCAATCGGATTTTTTGTTGAGATCGCATTTGCCCATGTCTCTTGATTTGATCAGTCTCGATGGCCAATCTGCTACGCTGAAATCTATCTTCTTAAATCAGTTGGCTATATCAAGTCATGAAGCCGCGTCGGTTAATGTCATTTGATAAGTCAAGGATCTGGTCCCAGGTTGGCCAAGTGCCATGTCGAATTCTCCTTTCTTGCTCTACTTAACGCGATGCTTTTCTCTCGTGGCGACAATTCAGGAGGTCAAATAACTCTACTAATATCAATTTCTCGTTTAAGTGACCCGTTTCAGTTTTATCCTTGCTGAGTGGTTATAAGACGCGTCTTTTTGCGTTTGGTTTCATTGCAAGCACAAGATCCAAGTATCCTCTGATCATATTCGTGTATTATGCATAAACCCAGTAAACACTTCGTTCATTCTTTGGTTTGTTATCTCAGAAGGGTATGCTGGCACAAATTTTCAACTTTTTGAAAGGAGGATTTGAAGGGAAGATGTTCACAAACTACATGGTTTAGTAAAATATTGACGATACATGGTAATGGCAGAAGTCGGGGAATAATGTTAGCAGATCCTATTGGCCTTTGAATTGTATGCTAAGTAAGTAATTGTGGGATTTCATCCTTAATTCCTTAACGGGCATTGGATGTAGTACATCTTTTTTTCAGGATGAACTCGGTGGTCCTCTGTTCAGATTTTGTCGATCCAAATCTCGTAGCCGTAGGGACGTTCCACAAGGAGTTGGCAGTCTTTGATTTCCGTGTACCAAGTCAGTACTCCGCCCTATCAAACACCTATCACCAGGGCACAATCCTCTGTCTCAAATCGCTCTACGGCCTTTTCAGCAATATGGAAGGTCCTCTATCAAGTGGTTTCCCTTCTACCACAACGCTAGACTTCAGCGATGCGGATTCCGTGATTTCCACCATGGGAGATGTCAGCCTACACGGGACCTCAATAAATAACAGTTTGGAAGCGCGGAGTTCGCTCTCCTCGATGGTTTCCGCTGGTGATGCTGATGTTTTGCCACCGCCATCGCAAAATGTTGGCTTCTATAGCGGTTGTAAGGGCGGAATATTGGCGGCGTGGGATCTACGCAAATTTAGCAAACCTGTCGGTGAACACAAGGTATCTAAGAGTACGATTTCTACTTATTAACACGTTAGTAGAAGGCATTTTTGGGATATTTTCTGTTTGGGATGAATCTGCGCAACTGTCACCGTATTTTCGAGCTACTGATATATTCTCTACGCTTGGTATAAGTTGTGGATTCTAGCTAAATTCCAAAATTGAGCTATTTTAGTTCAAGCGTGTTTTGTTTTGTTTTTGCTTCGATTCCGTTTCCATCTAACGGAATGACTATTCTAGAAGTTTTGTACTTTTTATACACATTGATGTTTGAATCGGAATCTTTTATTCAGGCTCTAAATCTATACTTTGTAACGCGAGTCTACTAGGTAATTTTAACTTAGAATGGATTTGGGGCTTTGTTGGGAGGGAAATTAACTTGTTATATGACTACTTTTGACCATTGCGACTGTCAGTTCTGACTTGATTCGGCTACATAATTTGTGTGACAGCTGCGTGAAAGAGAAAGGAAAGGCGATCTGTCATTCATCTGTTGCTGTGGATAGAATTTTCACCGGAAGTACGATTTCATATTCTCCGACATGGGTAAAATTCTCTCTATAAGTCGATTTAAAGGTTCTTAAATAACTGTTCCTATGCGACAGATTTGCAGTCTTCCGGAAGTCCGGTCGCTTACACCCATAATCATGAGGAATAAAGAAGACAATTTTCGGAAAGCTTCCAAAAAATGATAAAAGCTATATTTGAATGTTAGATCTGCCTACCCCCTATTCAACACAGTCTTGCGCTTGGCAAATTGGGCCCGGTGACTGTCTAAACTACTGTTAAATATGCGCTCAAACGTTTTTTCGTGATATTTGACTTGATGTTGTATGTTGTATAATCGTACCATTAGCAAAAGGGGTACATAAAGGATTGCAGCTGAGATAATTACTTAGTAGGAAAATATTGCATACACAACGCTGGAACCTAGCTTGATGTTTTCATTCGCTTTAGAAGAGTCATTTTCTTTTATTTTCTTGTCTGAGTAGGGAGAGGGATAGAAAATGCTTAATGATAAGAGCAAACACGAGCCTGCTTTTGTTTATCCAACCACTCTTTTTCCCAAGTATCAGTGGTAGGGTAGTTTTTCTCATCCTTGTTATTTAGTGACTATTTACCTTCCTCTTCTTCCAGCGAATCGACTTCCTTATATGGCTTTGCAACTAACATGAGTTGTTTGAATCACCTTCAGAGGCGTGATTAGGGCGTACAAGTCCGGAAGTAGCTTTGTGTGGAATAGCTGGGAAAGTAGCAACATTGAATGAAGTTTGAGGACCCACTTGCTCGGGAATTTGTCTGGATTAGATATCATTGAGTATTCGAGCATCGCTTCTGGGGCTCTCCGTGATTGTTCTTCGGTGCTATCTAGTCACAGTGATGTTTGGGTCAATTCTCAATGAGATGGGAACAATGATTTTACTTTGGTTTTATTTCAAATCAAGAACTTTTCCGAGGACGGTGTTAGTATGTGCTTAGTGTCTTTTTTCTTATTGACTCATACCTGTCAAGCGCATTACAGTGAATAATTTACGAATTACCACCTAAGACTGGACAATGCCCCACGGCATCTAGGATTAGTGTTCCAGCTGCCTTTTGTTTGAAATTTTTCCAAAGCATAGAAACAAACCTTGCAATTAAAGAGAGCTCGTTACGTCGTCGTCCTTTCAATCCTGTTGAACTATCTACGCAAGTTATTTCCAGCTTTTACATCATGAATGATCATCGAATTTTTCACAAACGTTTCTAGCTTCTTTAATTTTGTTTTTGTGTTCTTACTGTCCATGACGCAGAGCTTGAGATTCGTACGTTTGCTAGAAGCTGATACAATTTCATTAGCCATTCTTCTGATATTCTTCACAAATTCAGTTATTTAAAGCACGTCTCTCTTTGACAGCAATCAGGTGATTGATTTGGACGTGTGCCTCGTTAAAACATTAAAGGTAGCTCTCATCCTCCCTTGAGCATGTTCCACTGCGTTGCCATCACTATTTTACCAATTTATGCTCGAAGACGCTGCAAGTCATGCGCGTCTGAAAGTAGCTCTTTTACCAACTTATGGAAGGGCTGGAGAGGCATTAACTTATGTACTAGGCGGAGATTAGTCCTATCAATGTTGAAGCTGAATCGTGAGAGACTGAAAAAGATCTTGTAATTGCAGAAATCCTATTGCATTCATGTTTCATCCAAACTTGAAAAGCTGAGCAAGTTTTACGTAAGGCAGTCACGTACACTCGTTAATGTAACACTTTTAACTTTATAGCTACGGTCCTATCCCCGGAAGATATCTCTAATGGATGGAGAAGAGATGTGGGTGGCTGAGCATCCGAACCGTCTGCACGTTTTCCACACCGTTTCCTCTCGTTCCAACAGCTCCGCTCCTCTGCTTTCGCTTCTTCGTGTATGTCAACCTTTCTGATACACTTGCTCGTTATTATTTACTCAAATTTTGCCAGGCAATGAAGTATGAAAGCTTAATCACCAGTCAAACTGTTATTGGGGCTGTGCTACTTGCAGCGAAGAGCTCTCTTACTTTGGGAATGGTTTATCAAGCTAAATTCCTTATCCTTTCGGTCAGGTTTCAGTTTAAGAATGTGCAGGTGGTTCATCATTACTTATAAGCATTTATAATGAATAATTTATACGCCATTGTAAAGTGGGGCAAGACACTGAGAAGACAGAAGTTTAGGCAAGGGTATTTCTGGTCGAGTGCGGGAGATTGACGCTCATTCACTGACTGGACCTATCTGTCCACTTGACCCTAAACAGCAAAGGTACATCCCCTATGTTCTTTACTGAATCATACCACTATCCCCCTATTTTTAACCCTCATTAAGTGTTGGTCGAAAATGATGTTATTCGAGCTTGTCCGGCTGGCTAACAGCTTAGATCTCGGTTTCAAAACTGCAGAAGTTTCTCGTCAAGTCTTTTTGTGGGGTGGAATCAAATAATTTAACCGAAAAACTTAGTTTTGGAACTAAATTACCCATACCCGGATGCTACATCACAGTAGCAAGGGAAGTTTATCTTTTTTTGTGCATGAAGATCAGAGAATTGCGCACCACCATTGCGATTAACATGCCATCAACACCTTTCAGTAGTTTGCTAAAATCGGCACCAACTTGGAAGAGAATGTCGTGCAATAAATGGGTTCCTCTCCTATGCGTTAGCAGTTGGCAGACTAAGATTCACAAAATAAACATTTATTCTTAGCTCCCCCCACCTACTTCATATGTTAGATTGCTGACCAGAACAAAATATTTTGAGTTTTCTTTCCAGGCATAGGCGCCTTGTTCGTAGATATCTCAAGTTGTCTGTATTGCTGTATTGGTTTGAGGATTTAGTTAAAATACATGAATATATAGCCTACCTTTAATCTTACAAAAACCTTTTCTGTAGATGATTTTCAGAGGGTACTAATCATTAAACAAAATGTGCAGTTGAAGTAGCGATGGTTCTGTGGCTCGAGTAAGCAATGCTAGGGAAAGTTTATTTTCTGATAATCAACCTTTTTTGTTTTTTTCCCACCGACACCATGCTGTTGTGCTACTTCGCCCATATACCATTCAACCGAAATGAGGCAATACAATACAGCTCATTATTGTTTGAATGGTTTAATCCACCGGCTTTTCGGAGTCTCAGACAATGATTCAACTCTACCTGTCCATTAACATTCCTTTTAGTCTGCTATACCTCGTGCTCTCAACGAAGTTAATTTAATCTAAGTTACACTACCTCCTTATTTTTGGGTCTGGGGTGTTTTATTCTCATTTTTCTTTAAGTGGCCTAATGCTTATCGCGTCGAGAGGCTACTTGCTGCCTTAGAAGCTTTACTGTGCATTTTCTGTAGAGCGTACGCTTAGCTTCCCCTACTTGGAGAGTAAGAGGACTTTCCTTCTGCTTTATTCGGGAGATTAGACTAACACGTCAAAAGATATTATTGAGCATGCTTTTGGGTTTCTTATTGCTGTGCTTTCTCTCCAGCCCCCACTTAGTGCATTGAGATTATTTGCAAGACAGGAGTGACAAGTAATGTGTAAGATGTGACTCGCCTGTTGCAATCTTCATTTGAGGGGAAATACGTTCAAAACTCGAAGAAATTTCAATGTACTAAGTTTAATTTGCTTTCTTAGTGAAATCATTTCAATTCTTTCATCACGATGTAGGGCATTCTTTTCTGTTTTCAGTAATTCTACACTCATCTTTTTTAAACACTCAGGCCATAAATTATCGGCTAATTGCTCACTAAGGGGGTCTGGGAACCTTCCAGTATTGCTCTTTGTATGCCAGTGGCTATACCTTGCTACACTGTTTACATTGACTCGGCTTTTTTCTGTAAAACTGCAAGAGATGTACTTGGAATGAATGTTCATTTTCTTATGCGTTAAGCCTAGATGCTGGCCAAGCTCCTTAGTTAATTCCGTTTCGTTTGGTGATACTTGTACCTTTGGAATCTTCCCCGAAGCTCTCCTCATTGTGGAGATGCACCGTCATTACTTTATTGAACGCATGCTACAGCTTGTGACTGTCTTCCCTTAAAGGATCCTTTTCGAGACCCCCTTCGGCGAAATCGGGGATAGGTAGTAAAATTCCTGTTTTGGAGATGAGTTCTTTCAATCAGTCAATGTGGTAACGCAAGAATTTTGTAACGTCAGCGAGCGGGATGCTTGATTAACCGGAAAACTGGGAAGTCTCCGTCTGTTCAGCGAGTGTAGTTTCAGTCTTTCATCTTGTCTAGTCTCTGAGTTAGCAAATTGTAGTATCGGGTCGCTGAGCGTGAAATCCCTAAAGGTATTTGGCAGTGCCAAGCCACTTCAAATTGTCTGGTCCTTCTCATTGGTTGCTATGATGTTGCAGCAATCATGTCGAATGGCTGCTTCACTCTGTAATTACCTCCTAAAATTTTCATCTGAAGCAGTTTGCCATGGAAATGCAGATAACTTTATTGAAAATGTTGTGTGGTTCTTATTTGAATTTTATTCCAACACCATGTCATACAGCGCAAACAACTCAAAGTACTAATGAATAGTTTGGCTAGTGAAATAAATGCACCCGAATTGGGGCAGTTTTACTTATACTTGAGTCTGCGCCATATTTTGGGGGCATTAAGATCTTAAATCCGGTGTTCATTACCCCTTTACAATTTTTTCTGCATTTAATGCTTCCAAGCCTCGGAACGTATAGGCGCAGGCATCTTAACAATGAATGTTTTCAAACCGTTTATGCCTACTGTTACCTCAGCTGTTGATTGGGGATGGAGTGATTAACAAAAGTGAGCGCTGCAGTTGCGAATCTCCATGGATTTAGCTATCTGCGGCAGATGCCTTCCTTCCATAAAACTTAGACTTAATAACCGGTCCAGCGAAAAAAGCTTAGCACCCGAGTACCTTCTTTGAAGATGCGTAAGTCCGGATAGAAGGATCAGTGGTTTGTTAACAGAACTGGTATATAAATAATCATTTGACATCTAGATGTCCTTCTTTTACTACTTTTCCCATGTACTTTTTTATGCAGTCGCACAAGTATTCAGGGAAGTTGGGCTCAATTTCCGCGTTAGAGGCCACTCCAGGAGGCGTATTTGTGGCGTTGATGAGTCGGTACTTCGACGTTCTTCATCCCACCATGCCTCCGCGTTCCATGCTGAAGAAACCCATCTCCAAAGACCAAAGTGGAATTTACGTTTCTGTGAGTTGTTTCTATATTCTCAAAAATAATTGAGTAGACCTTCTGCATATTCACCTTTACGATAATGACTATGCGCTGGAGACAATCGCCTGAGTGGTTGTTACCTCTATGTAGTTGTCTAGAGACATTAAAATTAGGGCTACCACGAACTAGGGGATTGGTAGATCTGGCACAAATTGGTTTCACTAATTATTTTTTCTCATTGTGACTTTAGCTGGATGGCTGGAGTGCTTTGCATCCACCTTTTTGAACTTTTTAGTCCGCTAGTATTCAACCCACAAAAGGTGTATTTTTCTCTTATGCAGCACAGTGTTATGCTCTTCACGTTAATGACACAAATGTCGGAAATAAAAGTCCAAGCACTCGCTCTTGTTTTCCTCTGTCACTAGTGCCCTTCAAGCTGTCACAAACCAGGATTTAGATAGATCCATGTCTCACATCCGGCTCCTCTGCACCCTTCCTGTTTTTTTTGAATCAACTACCAGTGTTCTGTTTTGTTCGCTCTTTGTTTTTGCTGTAAGTGGGAGTTCGAAGGAATCTCATAAGTGATTCTAGAAAGGCAAACGAAATCTTCATGCTGACCATATGCGTCGAATGGAATGAACTTGTGCTTCTCGCACACGTTCCACCGGCAAAAAAATGTTATAAGTTCCGCAGACATCGCCTAGACAAAGTCTTAGTTGGAGTTTCAATCGTCTCGTACCATAAAAAAGATTTTGCTTCTACAAAGTTGACTTTTCAACGGGTACTTGGAAGGTAGATAGACCCACAATTACAGACCCGAAAAAAGGCAATAACAGAATTAAATAGTCATCATTTGGATTTCAAAGTTATTATTGTCATTCCTCCTTAAACTAGCCTTTTTACAAGGTCTCAATATTGGAAATAAATGATAATTTGGGTGTTCTTTCGAGTAACCTCTGAAATCTTTGATTGTTTTACTTTTTACGGCGCCTTCTGAATGATCCCCTTTGGGTTGCTTGCTGAATCCAATCCAATCTCACATTAACACGTTAGCTATTAGTGGCACGTATATGTGACGAGCCTGATGTCGAAAGCATATGATTGCTTATTGCTTATTGCGAAGAGATTGATTGGATTTCAAACAATCAAAAAGTTAATATAAGAGGCTCCTGCCGTAGAGATGATTATATTTTTTTTCGGAGCAGTAATTGTTATGAACAGTAGGTTATTTTGGTGGCATAAGTTTCGGCACCATATTCGAACACGAAGACGTCTCATTTTCCTCTAAGAACTGGGTAGCAATTGTGGCAAACTAAACCTTACCATATTTTATTTTATCTTAGCTCTACGGCCGATTAAGTATGGCTGACGTTTCTATTTCCTTCCTGTTCAGTTGTCGTTCGCTCACGAGACGCTGCTAGTGGGAGGCGACAACGGAAGTATATCCTTGTGGATGTCTAGAAGACGGGCTAATCAACTTCTTGATGGAGAGTCACCTTGATATCAACAAGTCGTGATTCGCTCAGCGTTATTCTCCACTTTTTTCTTGCCTCATTGTTTCACTGTTGAAGATGCATTTTTTTATTATGACTGCATTTTTGACCATGCTATGAAAGCCTTTTTATGACTAAAAATGTACGGTTCGAAGTCTCTCTCATATTCGACTTCTAACTGTGATAGCTCGTTCATTATTAGGGTTGTGCAGATTCGATGCATTTTTTGTGTAGCTTACTTCTATTAATCTAGTGTTTGCCCATTCTCTTGTTTTTTTTAACGCTCGCTACCAACGTCAGTGTGACTTCTCATATGTCTGCTGTGTTCTCTGTCAGTTTATGCTAATTTATTGCAACAAATCGTATCAGAAACGGATCAGTTGAGTTTGCGGCAACAGAATAGATGCAGAATGTTTGCTAAGGTAAGAGCAACTGTAATTTTAAATTTTTTGAGCAGCAGTTGAATTGGTCAGACAAATTAAGAACGTCTGGGCTGTGGTGGTCGATTTGGCTTTGAGACCGACTATGGCAGCTGACGTAATAAACAAGGTTGAGCCACTTGAAAATTCGGTCCCTGGCACTTTGCGATTACGGGAAAGTGAAATTAGGATGACAGAGTTAGCTGAGCAGAGAATCAAATCTTCCTCATGACTCTATCAGTCTGTCAACTTCCAAATTGTCATCACATCAACTGGCCGAGGTGGCATTTTAATACCTGCCTCGGTATTTGCTCAAAGCCTACCTGGTTGTTTATCTTTTTGATTGGCACACACGACTATGGCATCAACAAAAAATAAACAATTTTATTTTAGCTGAGACCGGAAGTGGGCTAATTCGTTAATTTACTCTCACAGAATGCAGTATAAAAAAGGAAAGAATAGTAGTAGCAATGAAGAAGTGAATGAACTCCACATCCCTACGTTGAAGCAGGTGCTATCCAATCATACTGCGCGTCATACTTGTATCCATTTTTGTCCATAACTTTCCAAAAAAGGCTCCGCAAATACCTGTACTTGGGCTCCTCCTCGTAGGCTAGACTTCTGCAATAGTTTATGTATTTAAGAAATTCCTCCGGCAGTCCCTCGCACAGTACCTCGGCTTTGACACTCTGTTTCGTCTTGTAGATCTTGCGGAATTTTTCGCGTTTACTCTCGGCTTGCAATCCCTGCCAGGGCAGATGTCCCTTAGTTAAGTAGACCAAAACGTATCCCAAGGATTCCAAATCATCTCTACGCGACTGTTCACATCCGGCATGAGCGTTAATGCTGCAATATCGAGCTGTGCCAGTTAGACTACGAAAATCGCGAAAAGGATAGTGTTCCTGGGTATTTGGATCGATGTAAAACTTTGATAGACCAAAGTCGATGATATACACAGTATTTATGTTTTGTCCTGTCCCCATTGCAAAGTTGTCTGGTTTCAAATCACGATGCACTAGACCACACTTATGCACAGTTTCAATCCTCTTAATCATCTGATCAGCCAACATGGCGACAGTTTTGAGGGAGAATTTTAAATCACAGTAGACGTGCAGATCCTCTAGACTCGGTCCCAGCAATTCCATTACTAGAACTGTGTAAAGATTTTGAACTCCATCACGTCCAAACCAAAAGAGCTTTGTAATCCCAGAAGCGTTGTTTAGTAGTTTGAGAAGATCATACTCCGTTTTGAGTTGTATTGGAAAGCCGGACCGAATTAGTTCTAATTTAGCAGCTGCTTCCACCTTGGTCTTCTTGTTTACTGCAAGGAAAATTTCTCCAAATGATCCGGAGCCAATGCGCTTAATCAATTTCCATTCCTGATTCACCACAAATTCGTTATGACTACTGGAATTTCCGTCGTTACTGGTGGAATTCGAATGACCCAGACGAGTTATCATCTGAAAAGTTGCATTGGAGTCTGGTTGTGGATTGCTTTAAGCGAAAATGGGCTACAAAAAGGAGAGGAAAAAGTCTCGCTTCACACCTACGAGGTGACAACGTGTCAACCAGATCGATAGCTACACAGGTACTTTCAAAAGTACGCCCTTTCATCACGTGCAGTTCGTTTCCGCAGAAATTCGAAGATGGCTGCATCAAGGAAGGATTTTTTGAGTGTATTTATATTTGCACACTTTTTATTAAGTATGTAAACTGAATTAACCAACCTCACTGCCGACTGTGGTGAGCAATTTGGCCTACAGTAACATTTCGTGTGATGAAGGCTTGTGTTGGACGTAGGTCAGGTAAGTTTCATTGCCTGATTTTTCGTTTTATCGAATCTAAAGCGTTTATGTAGTACAATGAGACTCCTCTGAAGGCAAAAGAAGGTGTAATACCCGGGCAGGGCTTCAAGGCTACTGACATTGTTTGGAGGCCAGTCCGGCCAACAGAAGTACAATGGACATTACCAAAATCGAAAAGTACTACATAGCTTCTTCTATTCTAGGGAGTGTCGTCCCCGGCGCTACTCTTTGTCAACCTTTTGTGTCGGCCATCACAATGTAGTCGGTGCTGTAAGAGCAACACCGACGAGTCAATCGCGCCGGTTATTGAATTTGCGTGCATTCGAGATAATTTATGAGTGCAATGTCACTGATCTCTCTTGGCAAATCTTCTTGACCTGAAGTTTCAATAGGCTTGGGAACTGTATTTGGGGTGGGGGGGAAGGGGGAAACGTCCATCGCTTGGTCTATGAACACTCACCTAAAAGTAGTCACTTGACAAAGGATAGGGTCAAACCTACTTTTGTGGGGAAAAATGTTTCACGTCCATTCCTCCTCGATGTCCAGCCCTATCTATCCGGCTAGTAGAAAGGTGGAGGAGGCATCGCAGGTTCACATGATTGATATCTACATGCAAGTACTGTAGACAGCTCTGTAGCGAACTTTTCCAGGCCCTTCAAGGCAGGTGCTGTTTCATTTGGTAACAGCTTTCCCGCAAAACACGAATCTGTGGTAGTTGCCGAGGGTAGGCGTCATTGTCAACCCTTATGTTAGGGGTCGTCATAGATTCTTCTATCACACTAAGGATTGTCACCAAGTAGTAGAAATTAAGATTGTTGTCCATTTTGGATCGGATCTGCCTTCCTCTGTCAGCAATGTAGCCTTCGAAGACCTCCCTGAGGACGAAAGAAGACATAATGCTTGAAAAACTGGGATATAGAAGAGCTTGGGGAGAGCTACTGTCATGGCCAGGAGTGCGGGCTGACCGACGGAGCGGTCCGTTACCAAAGCCGGAAAGTTTAATTTGTAATTCTTGGATTGCTTCTACCAAATGCCTGGATCGACAAATTTACAATTGGAAGATCTAAAAAATGTACATGATAATATTGAACACACCTCCTTGTTTAAGAGTATAACCAAGGTTCTGTCCTGTTGCAAGTATGAGGATCCACTTTTGATTATGTCAGAGTATAAAATGGTTAGAGAATTGATTCGAGATCGCACTTGTTTTACATCCAAGGCTGGTGCGGGCAACATTTATGACAACCCTTTGCATGACCTGACAATTTGGTATTTTTTAAATACACAACTTGCTGTTTGGGGGCTGAAAGAATAAATGATTACCGTATAGTTGTTGAAAGGTGGAAATATTTTCTACCAAAATAAAATGAACGTAAGGCTTTTTTGTGTCCCAACTGTTGCTTTTTCTCAACCAGACACACCACCAAGTCTCACCTTCTCTTACTGATCAGATAGCGGCATAAATTTCTGCCTCAGTAAAAAGGACGGGATGTATTAATATTAAATACATACTTCAATATTTTGCTGACTATTTTAAGATTTAAACAACAACAAAAGTTCCTACATAAACTAAAGGAAGATTTTGAAATGAAGGGATTCAATGGCAAAACCATTTAACTGTTCTCTCGAAAACGCCAAACTCAGAAATCATTTTAGCATGTCAAAAGGCAGAATGAGTCAAATCTTATTTGGAAAAAAAATGACTAAAACGGATAAGTTTCCAAAAAATTTTTCTTTTTTATCATAGAGAAGGGCTGAAATGCTATGGGAGGGAACGAGAAGCCATTGCACCAAGACGGTGATCGAAGCGTGATAACTGTAAGGCCAATTAAAGCAGGTATTGTCCTACTAAAATACTATTCCAATACATGTTATTGTTGAGCTAGGAGGTATATACCGTGTTATAAGTACGTTTGTAGTGCCTTGATTGTTTAATACTTCGTTTTGCTAATAGGAGATTTGAGGCGCCGCCATTGTGCTTACGCTGGGTGGCATGACCTCTGAACATAGCAAGTAGCACCTCAGACCTCCCGTACGCTAAAGATACATATCCTGTTCTAGTATTACGTCTCCTCTTTTCTTCAGGGCAGTCTCAAGGCAAACTCGACCCTAAAGGGGAAGTGTCCTGACTTTTATTACTGAATGTCAAAAATTAGCGCGACGTACGAAGCGCATATGCTGCAGACTAAAAAAAATCTGTGAAGACCCCAAACAGAAGAGTTGAAAGTGATGCCTAAATAGGGCAGCTAAATTAGTCCCATGTTCTGCACAAACGCCATTAATGAATGATGGGACACAAGCCATGAATTCACTACGGCACCAGCATGAAGACATTAAATCCGAGAACACGCGATACCTCCTACATTTCCGAATAGATAAATAAAACCCAAATAGATATGATAAGTAGCACTAAAATGGAAAAAAAAGTGGCAAGTAGAAATGGATGCAAAACTATTTTTAACCCCGTCCTTTGCTGCATGGGTGGCGATGGACATACGTGATGGAAAACACAGACTCCGTCTTCCAACACAGTTCCAAGACGGAAGGAAATCACGGATCCGGTGGAATTTAGAGGAGAGATCAGTGATGTTGCGGTCCAATATCGTCTCAGATGCACTCAAATTCGAAGACTGGCGCGGCTGGTTCAAGGGGGTTGTTATGACACCACCAACTGCACTGTGATGGCCGACGCGGGAGGTTGACCAAGGGAAGAGCAGGGGACGATGCTCAATTGGGGGAGAGGATTTATGTGATACTTAGTTTGTTTAAATCCCAATTTAGGCAACGGGTCTCTTAAGCCTCCTCCATTGCGCTTCCTCTCGACAACATGGCTTTCAGGTCATGCTAGTGGCCATTCTGTCCTTCAAAGTGTCGCCGACGCATATTTTGCCTCAGTATTATGCCTTCTTATGTTGCCAGGAAAGTCTCTGGATACTACACATTTACGTAACTTGCTTCCCTTTTGGAAAATGGCTACATTTGTTTCAGTTGTTCACAATAGTGAGTGGAAAGTTTCGGCCTCCGACGGTTTGACGATTATGTATTTAATTTTTACAGCCAGCTTTTCTGTTCGTCCCTTCATACATTTATAACAACGTCAGAGTTCAGTGTGTCTTTAATTACCTCTTGCATAAATAGGATGTAGAAATGCTAGGCATTAGGCCCTTTTCACTTGTGTTTTAAAGAAGACTTACGTCTAATTTGTTTATCAGAAATTGCTCATTTTACCATGCATAACCGAAAAAGATTTAGATTTAGTTCCTAAAATGCTTTTACCAGGGAAATATTATAAAATATATTCTCTGTGGAGCATCATCCAGTCTACAATAACGATGGGATGCTTCTGAGCTTAATGGCTAAATCTTATCACGATCGCGAAACTTGAAAGACTCTCGTTATTGCAAATTCACTTTCCTTTTTGAATTGTGAATTAGTTTCTTGGCTGATTCGGCAGAGTAGTCACTAGAGCCGTTGAGAATGGGGCTTAAATATGTCTAAGTACTATCTTTTTTCGTACTTGACTCTTCTGGTACCAGGCTTTCGTTTTCTTTCAAAAAAATTTTCCTTCACTAAAAGATTGGACCTCTAGGCATTATTTGGTGAATAGTTTTAGGAAAGATAAATTTGGAATTGTATGCCTAATTGATGTCCGCTACAAAATTAGATCTGCGGGCAGGACATTGGCAAAACGACGTTTTTTGCATGTGGCACATTAATCCTTTTAAATACATTTCGGAGAGTTTAATGGATTACTTTAAAAACTGGTCAACAAAAGGTACTGCAAAATCTTCTATTTCAAATCCAGTCAATTTGTAGTGAGGAGGAGGAAAAATGGAGTGGGGTGGCGAAACGCAAACATTTTGAAGAAAAAAAACGCTGGAACAATTTAATACAACAAAAAGAATAGTTATGGAAATTTGTTAATTAGTGTCTTTAGATTTGCTAGGAAGACTAACAACCACTATTGCTAATGGGCAGATGGTGACAGCTGGATGTGAGACAATTAATTTCGTTTTAATGACTATGCTCAGACGGGGGAAATAAAAGTTGTAACAAATGGCAAAATTTTAATCACTAATGAAGAACAATGGGGTATAAAGTGACAAAAGATAAAAAAATTGAGGAAAATTGTATTCGTGCACGTAAAGAAAGAATGTATTTTGTTTACACAAACGAAGATTAAATGAGTACATAGCGAGAGAAGTGTGACAATTCAATCCGAGTAACTGCAATACTATAGTCATTTTTTGTAACTCTGCTTAAATTTTGCAGACAACTAAGACCCACAATTGCACTTCCTCTGGGAGATTTAGTCTCTGGGTCATGCCAGTGGCCTGCAGGCCTTGTGAAGGTCGTTCTCGACGCTCCCATTGGTTAACCTCCAGCATCGGCCATCACAAAGTAGTTTGTGCTGTAAGGCCATTACCCACGAAACAACCGTCACAATCATCGAATTTGCATGTAATTGTGTCACTGATACATCTTGGCATTCATACTGGATCTGGAGTTTTTGTCATGTATGACAACTGTCTAGGGGGAAGAATAATGCTCAGGCCATTAAACCTGTCCATTGCTAGTAGCAAGAATACTGACCTTCAAGCAGAGTCAGTCGAAAAAACTAGAGTTTAACGCAGCTTCCAGTCTGTTTCTGCTACCCAAACCTACCTATCTGGGTTCTATCCAGTTGGTAGGGAGGTGGAAGAGGTATCGTGTGTTCACATAAATGGTAGCTACATACAAGTAGCGTTGACATCTGTGTCACGAACTTTCCAGATGGTTTACGGCTAGTGAAGCTTCATTTTTGAAGCAGAACACTGGGAACTAGGGTAGCTGACAAAGAGAGAGGGGTGACTTTAAACCCTCCTATAAGGGATTGCCAGATTTGATAGCCCTCATTTCCATCACATTAAGATTTGGCTTTCAGTGATATGAATCAGGACACTTGTCCTTTACGATTAGGCTCGTTTTCCATCGCCATTAATGTAGCGTCCTGAGTCTTTCAGGGGGAGGTCTGGAGCCATCAGTAACTGTAAGATCAAAACAAAGGTTAGGTGAGTAGTTATGGCTTTACACAAAAATTTCCAAATAAGGTTACGCATACCGTACACGTCCGTTATTTATTTACTTCTTTGTGAAACACATGTTGCTTAAAATAGGCCTTTCAGAGAGGAGGCGGACAGAAGAATCTAATTTCGTGACCGGAAAATCAGTCAGCATTCGACAACTCGAAGAAAAGCTCGGTGTTCTAACCTTCCAAGACATGCATCCATTTCTCCCATTTACTATGCACAATAAATATAACTGAACCAAATCAGCCAGGCCGTTCTAAGAGTATGGGAGCCAGGGAAGAGGAGATCTACTAGCCTCGTCCCACACTTATAAAAAAGTCCACACCCTGGAGAGGAGATAGTGTAGCCACATAAAGTTTTAAGTCAACAATTGGACGAGAGAGAAGGAGTAACCTTCCTCCCATAGTGTAGCCCTGTCTACTAGGGGCAATAAACAGGGCAAAAATTGAGGAGCGCGAAGAAAAGCTTTTCTATTTAACGCAAGGTAGAACATTAATATTCTAGTAAATAAAGGGGACTGGCATAAGATTATATAAAATCACTTTACCTTCTGCTTGCAGCGAGATTATTATGATTTAGCAAGGTAGTGGGTCAAGAATGTTATCGAATGAATTCAGATGGAAAGTGGTGGTGTAAGGAAATAGAAATTCTCTATGGTTTGCTGTTTCGGCAAATATTAACCAATTCATCCTGGATTGTTTTTAAATGAAAACTCATCTACAAGATTTGGTACTGAGGTGGCAACTACGGTTAATCCTTTCAGCGTAGTTTGCCTAACAGAAGACTGAATATAAAGCCTTTCCGCTTGAAATCTGCCACATTCTGATCACAATGGATAACTATACTTATGATTTGCTTAATTTCTTTTGAAGCAGATTAATGCCTCTTCTTATCACTCACCAACTTCCGCCATGTGCTCCCGGTGATCATGTACATAATTAATCATGCCGCTCGCTTTTTTTAACTTCCGATCTTTCTGTACATTTCTCATGAGCCTGATTATCAAGCAGCAGGCTTTAAGTGCCTTCCAGAGCAACTATACGGACTCTACGCAGCTACAGTATAAAGGGAACCATATTCGAATTATCGTTTTGCAAATAGAAACACAAAGGCGGTCATGTTTACCCCAAATTCCATGAGACTATTTAAGCTACAATAGGCAGAGGAGAACAAAAGCCTATTATGCACCTGCTTAACTCCTAAAAGGTTAGAAAATGCATGCATAGAATGATTTCGCTTTCTTTAGTTTTGGCTACTTCATTGTGAGGCTTTAAAAGCTCTAGGCATCCATAGGTTTTAATTGTTATTGGCCCATTGGTCAAATGTTAATAATTGCTTAAAGTGCTAACTAGAATGAGTAGGGTTCCCAGGCAAAATGAAAATCCAGATTTAAGGAATTGCCAAGAGGGATCAGTGACATTGCTGTCTGATGTCCTCTTAGTTGTGCGCAAATTCCATGACTGGAACGGATGTTTTAATTGCAGGGCCGAATACACTGCGATTAAAATATCCGACTTGAAGATTGATTTAGGGAATTACCGAGAAAGTCGCCCAAATGAGGAGAGGGAAGCTGTGTAGCAATTTAACTATCAGTTTAACTCTTCATTTTGGTTTTGGGGCTCTCAAAGCTCAGGTATTGTACTTTCACTGGACGACGATGACCTCTGGACCATGACGGTAGCCTCCTTACCTTTTCTGTACGTTGGTGATACATATTCTGTCCTAGTATTGTGTCTGCTTTCTTCTTGAGGGAAATCTCGGGTTCCCATTACTTGCCGTATGACAGTCGCTTCAAAATATTTTTCTTGCTATGGTAAAACTGGAGAGAAATTCATTTCCCATGCAATCCTTCACGGAACTTCAATAGAGTGTAGAATGTCAACTTTTTGAAAAAAAATATCAAACACGCAAAAAATTGTATGCCTTTTAAATGAAAATTTTTTAGCCAACCAAGCTAGGCTTTAGATATCCTTGCTTAGTGCGTGAGAACGCGCACAATTGCCACTGAACAGTGGTTTTTTCCAAAGAATTCACAAATGAAAGTGACAATTGCAAACAATCTTTCCACTAGTGAGCCACAGACGATAAATTGCTATTAGGGAAATGTTTTTGCTATTAGTATTTTGCCAGGCTACTTCGGAAGTGTAACTGACTTAAGAAAAACCGGTACTTCAAGCGATGTTATGGCCTCATGGCTTGATGTAAAAGCAGACACGCATTTGTGAGATAACCAAGTGAACTCGTGTCTTTCAAAATATTGTCCTCGTCGAAATTGTTACTATTACAATCTGTAACCCAATGTCAATTCAAAGAGACTCAAGTGTGATTCGGATTTTCCTTTGACACAATAAATGGTCTCTTGAAGCAAATGACCCGGTCTACTCTGTTTCTATCTCACCACTGCTTTCCGACTCGCTATCCAAAGTCCAACAGTGTTGACGCACATTATTTGGAGAAGTACTAACAGGGGAATACGATAGATGTAGGCAAAGCAGCACCTTCCCTCTCCCATTCTCTTTACTCTTCCATCCTAATTAAAGTGCCGTATTAAACCTTCTTACAGGCGGTTCTTTTAGTGCTATGAGAAATTGGGTCTTGATTTATCTTTCGTTGTCATATAGGGTTAAAATTGCGAATTGCTTCCACACGTTGGTTAGTCCGGGGTGTAGATCAAGTTTTCTCGCTTATCTTCCAAATAAATCGCATCGAGCGGCTGAATCTGCCGAGTGCTTGCTTGGTCTTTGGTAAGTAAACGACTCATGGTGAATAGCATTATTGGAAATAAACCAAATGGAGATAAAGTGGTTTGGGTAGTGAGGTAGGCTGTGCGGTAAGTATAGGATGAGCACTGGCTTAGCATATCGTTTCGAGACAAACAACGATATGTTTAATTGCTTAACAGACATTGGGAGGCATTTAAGTCGGTAGAAAATTTGACAGCCTCTGATGACTGTTTTCCACCATCCGAAACTCACTTGAGTAGCAGTTTCTTAGACTTTGTCTTCCCGTTTAGCGTATGCGCAATGAATTGTTTACGAATTACTCACACTAGACATTAATGAGGGATACCTGTATCATGGATATACTATAGTAAATTAACAGAAGGCTTCTATCCATAAACTTAAGCTAAATTGAGTTTGCTGACATCAGGTAGGGGTTTAAAGTAGAGGCCACAGTAAGGAGCTCCTCATCCGATAGACTGACCCACTTAAACTGTCGTTTGAACTTCACAGGAGCCAACAAGTTCCAAGAAGTCCCTTTTAGCGACCCATACTGAAAACGTACGAAAGTTTTTGATATCTGATACATAAAATAGTCGCGTTGAAGGAAATTATATTATATTCTCTAAATATGTAATTGTCAAAGTTATAGAACAAAAATGTTAAAAACTCGGATGTTAACCAGCACACAAAGTATGTAATTATGATTTATCTGGACATCGGTGCATTAGTTTCATGCATGGTTGCATATGATAGGTGAGTGACAGTGAAAACGAATATTTTACAACTCCTACAGCCAATAATGCTGCTGAAGAATACTCAAGAGTTCTTTTCAGAATAAACAGTGTAGCATTAATTAACGTCCGGACTTGCCACATCCAATCACATTTCCCATTCCCCCACCAATCAGATGCACAACCCACTTTTACCTTAGTGATTGATCATTGTCCGGATTTAATTGTACATTTCAAATGTCGGCACATAATAACTCCACATTTAGCGACCGGGGGATCAACTACGCACATTGGCTCATTTTTGGACCCCTCTCATGCCCCATAGCCATATTGGGCTTCATTGGAAACTACCTCACTCTCCAGACTTTACATCAACCTCAGCTTTCTTGCATTAATTCCAGCGTCTTTCTTAAATTTCTCACTATTGCAGATGCGGCTACAATTTTCTTCTACTTCATCAGCTTTATCATTCCCGTGTTGGCCTCAGAGGGCGTGGTAAATTGGATGGATAATTCAGGCTATTACCATGCCATCTACCCTCTCGCTTTGACCGCTCAAACTTGTGCTGTGTATACAGTCGTTCTCTTCTCCATTGTTCGCTACGTAAATATATGCCATCCGTTCGGTCTGCACGCTTTACGAACTCGCAGGGTAACAAGAATGATGGTGAGTTGCATTTTTGTGTTTGCAGTAATTTGCAATCTCCCACGTGTATTTGAACACATTCCCATTAGTCTACGAGTTTTCAACGCCTCTTGCAATTGTACTGAAGTGCGTATCACGAGGCTGGGTGAACAGCAGCTGTACATCTCGATCTACACGTCGTATGGTTACACATTTGGCATTTTTGTGATCCCCGTAAGTATTGTGGCAGTTCTGAATGCTCGCCTTGGTTTTTTGCTACATCATGTGCGCCGTGAATTCACAGAGAAGAGAGACAAAATACCTCAACGTATATCCGTAAAAATACATTCAGGAGGCAATCATAATCCCGCTCAGGAATCGGACACTCACACGGAGCGAATAGAAGAGAGTTATCGTCATCGGAACTACATTCCACATAGTGAAAAACCGTCTAATGCCACCAAACTCACCTATGCACGAGCACGGGTAACTGGACGACTATTTTGTCTCGTCTCCGTCTTCATTGCATTCCAATCTCTACCCATGGTTGACAACTTGATGCAAGCATTCATGAGTGACTTAGTAAAGGCAATATTTCCAAATTACAGTGTCTTCTATGCCATTTGTCAGTTCTCTGTGATGTTAAACTCATCCCTTAACACCGTCCTTTACTGCTTCCTGGGACAACGATTTCGACGTACTTTTGCGAAGATGGTTTACAGGTGGCTAGACGGTTGTTACTCATTTCTTGCCCTTGTAAGCTGTCCAGCCTGCCCCTCAAGCAGGTAGTAAGGGGAAAGTAACATTCACCATAACTCTTGAATCCGTACTTACATTTTATTGAGCTTATGAAACACATCCAATTTGTCAGTTCTTTTCATGCTTTGTTGCCTGCCGACTTGCATTACGGTAAAGTGAGAACTGGCATTTGTAAGCTAATAGGTAAGATATGAAGAATATACATAATTGCACGTAATTAATTGGCATATTTTAAACTAAATGTGAACATCAAATTTGTTTTTTTTTTTTATATCACAAGCGGACACCAAGAAAATAGGTTGAACCTAACTTTGGAATTGAAGGCCATGCGAATAGCTGTTTTGAAGTATCGTCGGTTTTATAACCCTTTTTTTTAGAAACGAAATTAAATTATATTAGTGAATGCCGCAGACAAAACGTTTCCAACAAAGCGGTAAACAAAGTCGAGAAGTGACTCATGGATGGACACCAAAATTTTATACCCTGGTTAATTCAGAACTCGGTATTGCAGTACAAAATCACTTTTTACTTTTTTTTACTTTCTTACATGAAAAGTTAGTGTCTGGACCGTTGTGATAGCGTCTGCCTGTGCATTTTGAGCACTTAATGAAATATACCTGCGCACACATACTTGTGTATGCTAGAGAAGTTTCTCAAATAAGTCGTTGTTTGAAAAAGTGAATCTTTGGTTATGGGATACTCTCAAGGGATTGTACCTAATGCAGAGTTGGTTCAAACAACATGTCAGCACAATTTTGTCCTGCCATCAGGCACTAGTGCGAGTCAATTTGTCGTAAACAAATTATTTAAATGTCAATTCCCTATGGGATTTAAATCATGTCACACTTTGAGAACATTCCATCCTGTAAAATTATCCATATCCCTAAAAGGATCAAAAGTACCTTCTCAATTCGATTCTGCTATTTTTGCTGTCATTTTACATCAAATAAAAGCTTTAATCTAAAAATGCCACGAAAGCTCTACATCTTTCGGTGATCTTAACGATCTTCCACTGGTGACTATCCGTGGAGTAAAAAAGGATTGCGAATAATCATATTCTCAGCTCTGGAATGTGCACCAACTGCACCAAAAAAGTAGGAGCATTTATTTTAATCGAGTTACAAAAAAGCTCCAAAATGACAGAAGGTTTTGTAATTAATGTTCCTGCTATTAAATATCTGCTTATTATTTGACGAAAAACCCACTTTAGACGCTATAATTCATTTTTTTTAAAAATCCATCCACTCCGTTTTTTGAATATTATAAGCAGTCGAATAGGCGTAGTACGGAACTACTGAAAGAATACCTGATTTATCCCTTAAGTGATTTTTATGACCATCTGTCCTAGCTATTAATTGCAGGGACCTTGACTAAATGAAATGACTTTGAGACAAGTTACTTAGCAGACATAAGTATTTTGCGTGATTAATGGTTGGATGGAATGCTCCTGGTACAGCGTATATTTCACGAATGACTTGTTGAACGTTGCTATCAGAAACGGAGAGGAGTATTTTCGGAGAAGCTGTTTAGTAGAATCGGCAAAAGCAATTTTCCTAATATACTGGAGGCCCAAAAAGCGTCATTTGCGTTTACAACTGCAGCATGCCATTTTTGCTAGCACACTGCATGGCTTTTGATGTATGGCTTGCTTTAAACTACGCAGTTGGGCGAATAAAATTATATCAGCTCTTGAAATCAAAGCTGCATCAGGAAATAGTTAGTCTTTACATGTCCATTGAAAAGCGCTGCACAAGTTTGAGCGTGGAATTCAGTATTATTCATAAAAATAGAGTGGAAAAATAGAAATATTCTTTTCATAAAAGGTTGCTCTAACAAATTAAATAAGTTGGAGTGGGTTAGAAGGTACCTAGTAGATGGACAAGCACAAGAGCTAGTTTGCATTTATTTGATCAAAATAAATTGTTTGTTCACTAGATGGAGGTCAATTAACTTTTTGGGCTAGTCCTTGAATTCATGCAGCAAAATACATAGAAGAGCTATTTTTAAAGAATTTGACAACAAAGACCGTACCAACAGTGGTATTTGATTGAGCCGTCTTCCTGAACACGTTTTGAAAGGGAATACAGGTAGTCAAGGAGGTAAATCTATAAAACCTAGTTGCTTCTACCATTTCAGAATCCCAATTAAGATGGACGTCTCAACAACACAAAATCCCAAACAAACGTAGGGCTAACCTACTTAGGAACTTAAAATCTAGAAGCCATTGACGCAGCCACATTTTAAAGCAAATAATGATTTGGATCCTCAATATACAGGCAAAGCTTACATTCTAAAGAGCTGGCAGTAATTTAGGAATCATTATGACAAACTACTAGACAGCGTATTCGAAGGTATCGCATGACAAGAAACAAACTTTTTAGACAGACATGAAAATTGCCTTCAGTTACAAACACAAGGCCACATTGTATTTACAAAAGGCTGAGAAAGTATTGATTTTAATAACTGTATTTATTCAAAAAGTGATGTCTTACAAATAAAAATTACAAAGAAGACAGAAATGATTTGATACTATCAGTAATGCCTTCTTCCAGGAAAATGGTTTGGTAATGGGACAAAAAAATAACCTGCCTCTATAAAAACCAAAACCGTCTTTGTTTGGAAAGAAAACTTAATAACATTTCAACGCAAATGTCGAGGCTATTTAACAATGTAAAAATGGTATTATTGCTATTTAAGATACATTAATATGCATGCTTCTTCTTGGGTTTACATAATGCATCATGAATTAAATCTCCCATTTACACGGGAGTAAAACGAGTAGCAGAATAAAATAAGGAAGTAAATGAAACAGTTTTAAATGCAAAATGGCCCGCTTAATTCATTTTTAAATTGCATAAAATCGTTATTAAGGGTGTAATAGGCTTGGTGTTTCGTCCTCTTCCACCTCAGCCTCCATACCCTTGGTAAGAGCAGACTGGTTTGACGAGAATATAATTTATGAGGTGGCAGCAAATAAGGTGGTACAGATGTCTCGGTTAACCGTATTCAGGTCACATCTAATTCTCGGACGTCGCCAGCGGCCGATTTTTCGCAAAGTTAGCATTTACTATCAGCTTCTCGTCTTAAAGGTGCATTTAAACAAAAATGTCATACAAAGGAACCGAAAAGTTAGGCGCACCAAATTGCAGTTTATGTGAGATAGGCAAGAGTAATAAAATATTTAATTGGTAGGCTTATTTTTAAATCATCATTTTAAGTCGTTGTGCTGTGAAGAAGGAAAATATCTAGTTTAAATAGCTTTAACATAAGAAATAGTGTAGCGCTACGAGTCTTCCTTAAAGTTGGCAGTAGACATAACACCGGGGCAGCTAATGCATTGGCGACGTACTGAAGGGCTGGAATGGGGGCCACTGGCGTGGCTTGAAAGCCATGCTGCCCAGCGGAAGAATAGTCTTAAGGCCCTAAGTGAGTGTGACGCAAAAACGAGGTGTTAGCCAATTAATCAAAGTATTACGGTAGGATTCAAAGTTAATGTTTGAAATGCGAACCGGATGGGTTATAAATTTACACAAAGCTTATTTTAAAAACACATTTGGCCTTCGCTGGCTTGAGTACAAATCAAATTTTTGGTGGCATTTTAGGGCAATTTCAAAACTTGTGAACTAAATTTACTAATCTGTTTTGGCAAACCGCACAATTTTGGGCTTGAAAATTTTGATAGCATAATAATTTGATTATTTGTTGAACTCTTTTGGCTGCTCGGATGTCTTTAAGGTCCGGCTCTGTTCTTTCGCTGAGTGGAATGGCCTTTGGACCATGCTAGTAGTCCAACCGCTAACCTTCTGTTCGTCGACAGTACATGATCTGCCATTGTATTATGACTTCCCTCGTCTTCAGGAAACACTCAGGGTACTACAGATAGGCAAATAACTTTTTCCTTTTCCGAAGGCTTATAACATAACTAAAAATATATTGCTGGCGCAAAAAGTGTGCACAATTAAGGCATCTTAAAGTGCCGACAAATCTTATCTAAATATACAAATAAATACCAAAGATGTAAATAGCATGTATGCTAGCAACACTGCATGCACATGCCATGTGCCTCCTCCTATTCCATCATCTGGTTGCACCAGGCAGTGTGGCAAATAGATTGGTCTGGTTCGAAGTAATAAAGGAGAGAGATGAGGACAGTTTTGGGTTTGAGGCTAAGCGCATTTCCTAGCTGCTGGGTAAAATGCCTCTAAGACATAAACATGGGCTGTAATAATTCATTTTCCTCCTAGGCGCCTAGCAATAAACGTGATAACCAAATGAATTTGTGTATCCAAAATTTTAATTTCTAGCCGTTTAAAGCATTTCTTTTATTTCTGCAGCTGAATAAATATACAGTTTTCTGCAAATCATGGCGCTTTGAGTCCTTCTTCAGGGAGAAAAAAACTACATTGCTGACGACGGAAAGGGGTGAGGATTACTGCCATGCCGCCCTGTAGAGGAACTAGGGCGAAGCCTAAAGTGTCCACGAAACCCAAACAATGAGTTGAACAAATAATTGAGGCATAGCAAAATAAATAAACACAAATAACAGCAGTAAAATTACTTCAATGTTCGCAGGTCTAACTGATTGAAATCTTATTTACTCTACCTTATTTTTCAACCTTACCTTCTACTACGACCTAAATATCTAACCCAAATTTTTGACTCAAAAACGATTTTAGAGTAGACATTTTTTTTAAACTGAAACAAAAATCCACAATATTTTTTCTTAAAAATCACTATCATCTGGAATTTCAGTTGAAAAACCCAGGCCGTTAGTTCAAACGTCTACAATTTTGGTAATTTGTTGAAGATCACAAAATATCTTACGTCCATAAAAAATAAGTAGATAAACTCAGCACGCACTTGAATTAATGAGCCAGAGCACATTTTCGATTAGAAAAATGGGACAAAAGGAGCTCAACTGCATGATTAATGAAAAATAGAGCAAATTGCAACGTTGTTGCAACGCGCTACTTATATGGAAATCAGTGTGGCAAAACTGGTTAGCAAAACGTGATCAACCGGAGTTAAATTTTAACTAAATTAAATGTTAATATATACAAATCTGGAAAGGGAAATAAACAAATGACAATTCATTCACTATTCAATGGAGTGGGTGTGACACCGCAGGTCACATTATTTGACCTAGTGTAGCGCCCCGACACTTCTCTGAGGTCCGAAGAAGCCATAGGAGTATGGCTGCAGATATATTACTGATGTACAGAAGAGCTGAGGCTAACTACTTGACCACGAGGCCATCCTGGGGCTTGGAAGTACAGTGAGGGAGCCTGAGGTGTTACGTAAATATGATGCAGAACTAAACACAAAGTCAAGGTAATGCCCTATTAGCATGCAGTCACTGCAGTTTCCTTCATCTCTATGCTCAATAATGTCCATTCGCAAATGGAAATTTCAAAATGCCTCCCTTTTTAATAACCACTGGAGCATATCAGATGCATTTCAAATTTCGTCCGACAGCATCTCCATTAAACAGATCAAAGTGAAAAAATTCAGCCGTAAAATTTCTAAGAAAGCGAGATTAACGAATATCACTGCATTTTGACAGTTTTTTTGTGATTGCGCCGAAACTTCAAAGTATTACAAGTTGTAAGCAAGTACGTTCCACGTGTAACACATGTTTGCTTGAATGTAACTTTTGAGCGAGAGGTAGTCGGTAAATACCAACCTCATGACTGATCGGACGCCGTCAGCCCCCTAAAAAGAAAATGTTCCTTGAACACACTAAACCGTGATATCTGTAGCCCCTTTATTTACCACCTCCCATTTAAGCATGTCCTCTTCAAACTGATCTGCTGGTTCGAGGGTCATGAAGACTAAGGTGGAAGAGAGAGACACTTGACCTATTTAACATGCACCGAAGGTACAATTTAAAGGTTAGAATGAAAGTTTACCAAACTATTAACAGTTTAATTTTGGCCCAAAATTCTTGCTGGCGACGACTGATCAAGTTTGCAGAAGCCTCGAAAGACAATAGATTAATGCAACTGACAAAAAACATTCTCATAATGTGTTGAGCGGAAGTTACCATGAGAAGTTGGGCGTACATTTCCTTTGGCTGACTGATGGGCAATTAAATTGCAGTTAAAAACCAAGAATATTTAAAATCAAGGATGGTTATTGGTTAAAAGATTAAAAAACCAGTGCGGTGATGTTGCAAATTAACCGTTGCAGAGTTAAAATATCGTTTTTTACACAAAGACACGAAAAAGTTGCTTAAATTGAAAGGTGAGAGATTATTATGGATCAAAAACAACAAAAGAGCTGTTTTGCCTTGAACAGTTCCCACAGTCGAGAGAAGTTATAAAAAATGAAAACAATGTATTGCTGATGTATGGAAGGGCAAGGGGACTACTGACGTTATTTAGAGGCTGGGCCACATAGAGAGGGTACAACTCAGGGAAGAAAACTCCAGAGTTAGATGATCAAAGTATTGCCGAGTCACCCTCTCCATTTGAACGCCATCCTCAGCGCTCCCCTTGGTCAACTTCCAGCGTCAGCCATCACAACGTAGTCGGCCTTGTAGGAAAAACACTCACGGACCGGCCACGCCAGTCATTGAATTTACGTGCAAATGACACCATGTCTGACGGCAAAGTCACTAATCATTCTTGATAAAACCAGTGAAGCTGAAGTTTAGTCCTATTTGGTAAATGTACAGAGAGAAGAGAAATTGTACTGGACATCTGTGTCCATCGCCAGTCGCAAGAATACTGATCTTACAGCAGTCATTTGATAAGGGATAGGGTCTAAAATAGTTTTGCGGGGATGAGACTTCAGTCTTGTTCCTCTCTGTCACATTGTTCTCACTTCAGTGCTGTCCAAACATTAATCATGAATTCACCCGGCTAATAGAGAGGTAAGGAGGAATCGCCTGCCCGCTAATTGACATCTTCATTTGGTTAATGTAGGCAGCTGCATAAAGGACTTCTCTAAATGGTTGAGGGTTAGTTTCACTTCAGCTGTTAAAGACATTTCTTAAGAATACGAGATTTAGATAGTTTGGCTAGTAGTCGTCACAGATTCTCCCAACCGCATCAAATGCCCTTTTCCGGCACTCTAAAGTTTGGCATTCATTAATGAAAGTCAGGGAAGTTGCCCTATGGTATGGGGTTCGCTTTCTGCTAACACCAAGGAAGAGCCCTGAGTCTACGCAGAAGTCGAAAAGAGTAGCGCTGCTGTGGAAGACTTTACATTGTCGAAGTAGGAAAGATCATGCCACCTAGCGGTGCTCTCGTAACAATCAAATCATTGCGAGATGCTTACCTTAATAGTAATTGAAACTAATTGGACATTTCCGGAAACCTCTAAGTAAAATGGTTTTGCGCTTAATATGTATTTTATTGTTTTATTCTTTAAGCATCAGCATTGATGTAGCGTTCTACTTGCGGTTTAATTATTCATCCTTTTGTGCAGCTGATTGAGTTCTTTAGACTGCCCACAAGTACCCAGACCCCGAAGGATAGGACTTCAAAAATGGATTTTGCGAGGCAGTATAATTAACATTGTCGCTTCTAAACTCAAACTGTTTGTTTGAAATTTTTCTTTTATGTTTCCACTTTTTCTTCTTTAACTCTACACTCAACAATGCAAGTAAAGGTGGTCAAACAAAAGTAATTTTAGAGGATAAAAGCTTGTGAACCATCTACTGAAATTTATATTAGGCTTAAGTCTTTTTTTAAAAAAAGTCAGTTTCAGACTTTGCTTTCATAAACATGCAAAATCTTAGATGATAGAGTTATCTAGCACGTCAAAAGAATAGCGCCCTCCGTTAGCAGTTTGATAGATGAAATGGAGTTTTGTAAAGTATCTGTTCCGTAATACTTTGGCTATTTGGTTATTAGTTTCACAAGCATGTCGTGCTCCGCCTTTGTTCTTCCACTAAGCAGCATAGCCACCGGATCATGCTAGTGCCTTCTCCATCAAGCCTTTCTGTACATCGGCAATGCATAGTCTTCTCCAGTCTACAGGGAAGACTCGGGATGCTACAGTTCATAGTTCAAACAAAAGTGATTAATTTTTAGTGAAACTTCTGACCATATTTAACAAATTACTCGTAAAAATTATAAGTCACCGCTTCAGAACATAGGAAGGTTTTGTCTGATTTGGGGAATTTAGATAGTGTCACACTGATTAATTTAATCCAACTTACCCTGATTAACCAAATGCTTAAAGTCTAGGAACACTTTTCATTTATTACCTTGGAAATACTCTAAACATCTACTCCTAAAATGGGCCAAAACTACTTCTGCCCAAGCATACCTCATTTTTACAGCGATAATAAAATATGTATTGTTATACGCAAAACAAATCTTCTAAAAATGTTGGTAAGTAAAAATGATAGTATATACCGACATTTTTTCACATAATTTAACCCCTGCGCAGATTTGCAGGGGTATTTTGTTATGCGTGACATGATAGACGTATTAAGGAATCGCCGAGACAAGGTTGTTTACCAAAGAAGTTGCCAAAGAAGTTTTTGCACTTAGTCCTTTTACCAAAACACGCCTTCTTGGTTTGTACTATTATGGTCATTTATGACACAAAAATAACGCTTTCTTGATATGAAACTCGTGACTGTAAACAAAATTTTAATGCTTAAACTGCCCCTGCAATTCCCTTCTGGTTTTGTAATCTCGGGTGTGCTTAAAAGAGGAAAAATTGCGTTTTGGTTCTACTCAGGTATGAAAAAATGGATTTCCAAAATAATTTTTTTTGAGGAGAAATTGGAGTTGTAACTAGTTATTTGGTGAAAAGCAAATTGCTTCCCACATCCCATCCCTTACCTTAACCGCCAAGAGCTTGTCAAAACTGTTCTACGGTCAAGAAGATGTCAAGGGCCGTCAAACAACATAATCGCCTATGTAACTTGAAATTTTTCATGTTTTTTCTTGCATGGAGTGTTTCTCAGATTTTCAACGGAAAAATATAACATTTTACCCTTATTTGATGGCAAATTTCATCATGTGAATTTTTTCAGAAACCAATCGAGCTGTTACGTACAAAGTTATAAAGTACAACTACCATAGTTAATAAACTTCCTTCCTGTTTCTATGCGTAGACAATTGAGGTAAAACTTGAATTGTTCCGGAACTTGAACACAACATAATTCTGCTAATTATGTGCAAATCGACTTTGGCGTTCTTAATCCCCCCATATTAATGGCAATGTGGTTGAAAAACTTCAACGCATTTTTCGATGAGGACTTTAAATAACGCGGTCATGCCTTTACCGTGCCAATGCAGACAACCAGGCCGCAAATACCAAGGTCCGTCGCCCGTACTAAAATGCAGCAATTGCCCACCAATTAGCTAATCTGATTGGCTACGCACGGGCCAATCGCATGCAACGCATAAATTTGGCTGGTTGGTCAACCGTAATGGCCATTTTAAGGACTACCGGGGCTTGACTGTGTGACTTTGAGGAGGAGGGGACTGGCATGGCAAGTCCCAAATGTTACGGTGTTCAGGATCATGCACTCTTGGCACCTCCCATTACCGAGGCACTTGACGAGCTGCATCTGTCAACAGTATCACTCCTTGCCAACGCTTCGAGCAATCCTAGTGGTCGATGCTCTTATGGCTCAATTGAGAGGATTTTAGACTCACCTTGGTTATCGTCTTCGACCTGTCCTCACCCGTTATTTCAACAGCCAAACCATGATATGCGTTTTTTCAATCAACGACCCACTTACGGATCCTGCTCTCTTCTCGCAGATGTTACTGGTTTTGAAGAAAATATGGTCAAAAGGATTAACTCTTGCAGCTTAGATTTGAATACATTTAAACAGCTACGGCATAATTCTGCCTCGCCCAAATCGCCCGATTACCCTACCGTATCAAGGCCTCTCAAGTTTAATGCAGGGGCACTGGATAATTTGGACATCCTTGTACATCCCAAACCCTGCTATGTTCTCCATGTAAACATGATGGACAAAAGTATTGAGAAGCAAGAGGAAACAAGTTCACCCTGACATTTTTGTGGATAAAAAGCAAAAAAGAAAGAATATAGCCTACTTCTGGTTGATTTTTTGCGATTTCATTGTTATCATTTTGTAAATTCGCTTAATAATTTTCCAGTCTTTGTTGTACTGCATTATTCATTCACGGAGCCTTGGAACGAAGGAGGTGCGATAAAAACAGTCGACTGCTTTCAACCAATTTTTAGACACTGTCTTCACTTTATGCTGGACTGTGTTTTCAAATCAATGATGTCGTTGTTTACCGTTTCACTGACGTTACTTAAACTCTGTATTTTTAAATAAACGATTTTTTATTCCACGGGAAGGTTTGTTAGGTGATAGGGAGGAAACTTTTGACCATGTCTTACCGAAAAGAACCAAATTTTGGAAGTGGAAATCTAGAAGACGGACTTTTCATTCGCAATCCATTTTCCAAATTTCGTTATAGTTCTTTAGCACCACCTTAAAATATTTTTCGACCATATTTTATTAGTAGAAATTGGCTGCCCTTTTTTATAACCCCGTCCCAGACAATAAATTAATCAGGAGGAATAACGTCTAAAATAAAACAACACTTCTAAAAATTACGGGATTAAATGCTCCGAATGAATACCTGGAAACAATTGTGTAGGGCATTTTGAGTACTTGTTTAATTCAGCTCCTTGATTTCGCAGGGGTTTAAGACCCCGTCTTTGTACTTCCGCTGAGCGACGTGGCCTCGGGGGTATGCCAACAGCCTCCAGCCCTTTTGTATGTTGATAATGCATTTTCAGCCTCAGTATCATGCCTTTTTTCGACTTTAAAAAAGACTAGGGGTGCTACTTTTGGCCTTAAAGGAACATATGAAGCAACTCACGAGAAGTCGCCTTTTTAATTTTGTGCTATACAGAAAGCTCTTAAGTTCTTCAATAGATCTTGAAATGAATTAATCTGTCTTGTAAATATAAAAGCAGCTAAAATAGACAGCCATTTGTTTTGTGCAGCATGAAATGTCACTCCATAGTGCTGAAATACACACTGGCATTAAAATACCATCGACTTTCCAATGGAGTTCCTCATCACACATCCGACTCCATTAAAAGTGTTATTCATGCATACCTTATCTGCCTTTTGTGTCTAAAGTAAAGATTTAATGTTTTTTATAATTTGCACAAAAATACGTTTAATGAGGCATTAAATGAAATGTAGAAGTAGTAGCGAAACATTTTTCCATGGCACATGAGTAGATTATTCACTGATAACAACGCTTCTAACCTCTGAGAAGGACCTAGTCGGAACTACCGCACTATGATAAAATCTAGCTCCACAAAATTGAACTTTTGTCATAAAATGGTAAAAGTTGGGCATTTTTAACTACTTTTACAACTACTATCAAAATATTTAACGACCAATCGTATTGCTTGATGTATGCCTGGCGTATGAACCAGTTCCCAAGCCTACTTTTGCGTTGACATATCAAATGAAACAAGAAAAATCGGAACTCCTAGGTACGAATTAGCCAAATTGTATAACAATGGCTGTTAAATTCATCATTTGGCATAATAGAATGCCGTCAAGGTGTAACCAGGTTGCATTGTCACATAATTAGGCCGAATTCTCTGGGCCTATAAATAACTTGGCAGTAAACTAAGAGAAGAACTGCAAGGTGGAGACAATCGATGACGTGGAGGGGACGAAATACAAGAGGAAAATACATGGAAGTGGGAAAAAACCCTGAAATCATTTCAATTACTGCCTTTTGTCCACTTCACTGAGTCTGCCACTTACCACGAAATCAAATTATGCATTGTAGGTGACATCGGAAAATACGTAAAATAAAATATACAAAAGCAGAACTTTATTTTTTTTAATGTGCTGTTTTACGCTAGCATTGGAATAAGAAACAATTAATCTCTCGTTTTATGCCGTTTGGAATCCCTAGAGGGAGGGTGCACTGGCATATATCATGGAGGCAAAAGTTCAGCATTTTTTGAAAACAAAAAAATAATATATATGGAGGCATTAGCGTTCACCTCATCAAAGATAAGTTCCTAACTTGAAATAGAAAATAAATCAAATTAGACGCTTATTTAAGTAGGTAATTCATTTTAGCTCCAGGCAAATTCTTAATTTGCGGTGGGAGACAAAGCGCTGTAGATGAATACATCCTTTCTGTGTAATTAAGGCAGACAGAGGATCTTTTGTTTCATGATATAAATAGAAAAAAGGCTTAAGGAAACAGACGTAAGTGATTGCCAAGATAATTGGTGGCTTAGTCGAGACCGTGTAAATCAGTGTAAAGAACATTTTATAGCGTAGCGCCTTTAAACTTCTCTGAAGACGAAATAAGGTAAAGTGGTGGGGCAGAATATGTGTCATTGAAGTGAAGAAGGATTGCAGAGCTACTGTTATGTCCCAAAGACCATGTCGTTTAGCTGAAGTAGAATCTCAGAGGTCTCAGTTTCCGTGCAGTCAAAACAAAGAGTTGAAATACTAATACAAGTACTGCATGCTCCCCCCCACCCTCATGCGTTTTTTTCGACATCTGGGTCAGCTATCAAAAAATAGCAAGTGCTGTAAGAGAAACACTTACAAATCAAGCGCGTCAGCCAGCGTCCTGATTAAGAAAATAGTAGAGAAAGGGAAAATGCTCTAGACATTTTGTATGTCCTTCGGTAGTCGAGCAAACACTTTTAATCCAGTGCTGTCGAGCCATGCCAATTTGGGTTTCATTTACATGGTAGAGAGGTGAAGGAGTTGTTACCTGTTTACCTTATTGATATCTTTATACGAATACTGTAAACAGCACCGCAGCGAAGAGTTTTTAAATGATTTTAGGCCATTTTAACTTCAGGGGTTATTGGTATTCGTATAAAACATAATACAGGAGTGGCCGCCGAAGGAATACGTAATTTTCAACCCTTCTGTTAGGACTCATCACATATTTTCTTCCGTCACGTTAATATTCAGCATTTTAGGAATGGAAATCGGAGTAGTTATCCTTTGGGGTCAAATTTGCTTTCCATTGCCACCAAAGCAGCGTCCCGAAATTGCACCGAAGAGGAAATTAGACAAAATCCTGGACAAAAATATCTGACATTGACGTACAGAAGAACTAGAGTCTATTGGCATGACCCAGAGGCCGTACCAAGAGGTGGAAGTATAAAAGCAGGCCCTAAGTGCCGAAGAAACCAAAACGAAGAGTTAAATAACCAAACCACTACGGAAGAGGGTCTGATAGATGCTACTGTTTAAAAAGATAGCTAGTTAAAAGGAACCCTGGTCTTGTTGGACTTCCCAAGTATAAAAAAAGGAAACGGCTAATTTGCTCATTTCAGATTACCCGATATGTCAACAAAACCGCTTTGATTTTCTTTTAAATCGCACACCTGTAAGATGGGGCCTTACGTAGCTAATGCTATCCAAAAGCGTATCATTTGAATATCAGCATTATTCACATTCTCTCTTTGTGTAACCCTGATTTGTTAAAAAGCACATTATCAAGACTTTAAGCTTATTCTTTTGGTAATCTTACACTTTATTTACCTGTAGAAAATATGGTGCGTCAGGAACTTTGACGTGGTGAAGTCATTTCAGAAGGACAGTTCAAACTAAATGTCACAACATGGGTACTTCAACATGAATTATGCGTTTAAAGTATAGCAGAGCGTTATCCAAGTCAAAAGGAAAAAATGAGAGGTACATTTTAAACCAAAGCGGATAAGATAAAGTTTAAATAAATAAGAATGCCAAAGTCATGGCAATTTTCCTGAAGGAGGACTTTACTCTGCATACAGAAAACCACCCCTCCTCAATGAGATCAAAAGGTGTCTTCAACCATGCAGACTTAAGGTTATTATTTTTTAACAGAATTTAGTCGTTTCTTGGCATGTATGATCAGCACTCTCCGTGCTGGCCTGTAAAAAGGAAAATATTTTCTTTAAAAACCACAAAAAATTTGAAAAGAGTGTGGTCTTAGTCTAAAGAGTTCGAAATACATGAATTCAAAACATCAGAATTATGACTAATACGGTAGCAAGAGTTCCACCTAACCAACTGTATCAGAAAATGCCAATTTTACACCCCAATGAAAGCACATGAGTTGTTACTACCTTTCCGTGTTGAAGAAAGCTTTTTTCTCGCAGTGTCCGTAACATATGGCAGGCACACTGACTATGAAAAAGGAAAAGCTGATAACAGTCATTGATCTCCACCTACCATCCGGTTGATACTCCGCTTTTCACTTAGGCGGATGCTAGTGTAACCATTTACCGCCTTTTACAAATGCGGGAGGTTATTTGAAGACTTGTTTAAGCAGGAATTGAGTTTTAATGATATATTAACAATGGGTTATTTCGCCCCATGAGCTTGAAGCGGAAGAACAGTCGCAAAAATGTTTGTACATGCAGCTTAACTTGAAATTTTTAAACTCCTTTTAATAGCGTTTAACCTTTATGACTCGAAAAAAACATGCTATTATAGGTCAAGCGTTGAGTTTGTGGCCATCGTTTGATATCACGACTAATCAGCAAGGGACTTTACTATAATACCTTTAATAAAACAGCCTTGGACTGCTCAATATCAGGTACTGCTTGAAGATATAGACGTATTACAAGCCCTATCGAGACTGTTCTACTTATTTAGGTGAAAAGTGAGAAGAGTGGTCAAATTTTGCGACTGCAACTGCGTTGCCGATCCTTGAAGGGGAGACAAGCTCGGATTTCCTTAAAACTTTGACCTTTGTAAAGCCTCACATTAGATAATACAAGCTGTCCTCCTCCAAGTAGTCCTCTCCATTTAAAGGTGTAAAATTGGCGATGGAAGGTTAAATCGGTGAAAATATTGCCAATCTAAGCAGCGGTAAGCATAAACCTTTGCAACACAGTAAATTTTGGAACTTCTCTTTTGCTATTATAGATGAAGAAATATTTGGTCGGCAAATTGCTGTAAAGGATTCCATAATTTTAAGGGAGAAGTGAGCGATTTCAAAATGAAAATTATGTTCGCTCACTGCAAAATAAATCATTTTAATGCTCACAATTACACTCCCACACGTATACTAACAAATGTGGACGTTGAAATTTTAGTGTTTCCGTTAAAAATAGCAACTAGCAGGAGAAAATCCACCAGCTCCTTTTACCTTTACACGTACTTCT